TACCAGCATATGTTTGTGTGTATATGAAAATAATTCTGAAAGACCTGCAGCAAAATTGAAATACTGTATAAAGTATTGATCAAGACCTTTTAAAAAGATTACTAAAACATCTGCCTTCTGTAAAGCTTTTTGCAGAGCAAGCACTGTAAGGAAGTTAAAATTGAAGAATGCAAAAGTCTGAAAATCACAAGAAACATTATGAATAATTTGGCAAAAATAAGTCTCAACAGAAACCATAACAATCTTGGAGATAAGAATGTTGGTTATAAAAAGAGACAATGAAAAAAACACTTTATGGCTCATCTCTTTGTGTATTTTTGGTACAGAATCAACACTTGATTTAAAAATAATATAGCATCAACAATGTTTTGTGCTACTCCGACGTTATTGTCATGCTTTCAAACTTATAGCTTTCAGTTTGTGTTCACATTAAAAATGTCCTGATTAGTTCAGCAACGTGCAATCATTTGAGTTTCAAGCAATATGGAGAAAGTTTGTAGCAATTAAATTCAAACCTCATCAACAAAGAAAATTTGCTATATAATTTTAATCTAAAAAAAATATTAATCTCTCACTGCAAATAAGGAAAAAAAAATTTGGAGCATGAGTACAATTTAAAGGAATAAGCTATGGATCTCATAGATATATTGAACCAATTCTAATAGGTCATTTAAGAGTTTGATCATTGTTTGATCTGTTTGTAACTAAACAAGAAAGTGATCCACTGCACTTCATGTGTGAACAGGTGACAGGCCCATCCATTAAACTTCTGGTCTTTATTCTCACAGCATCAAAGTCATGAGAAAAGCCCCATCAGGCTAACGTTAGGTCCCACATGTGAAGACTTAAATGAAGAGTTTATCTTTGATATTTGTTTGATATCTGTTTCTCACTGGCTTCTTTGATTCTCCACTTACCTCTGGAAATCTGATTCCACGCTGACCTTCAATGAAAAGTGACGATTGACAGAAGTTGAAGTCGTCGGTCATTCACAATCGCCCCACCCCGCTCTGTAAACCGAGAAGCCTGTCTTGTGTCCAGGATGTCTTCATTTTCAACTGTTTTACGTATCATCCTTCAAATCCTCGCTTTGTTGCAAAACAGGGAATGCAAAGTCAAAAAAATGAGAGAAAATACCTTTTCTATGAATGCTGAGCTGCATGATTTAGCTGAAAGTTGCTAATTTAAAAAAAAAAAAAAAAGCTTAAAATGAAAGTAGCAGGACATTAGCATGAACTAACAAAAGGAGCAAAACAATAGTTAAAATCCAGCAAAGTGCTGGCTAAAATCTAAAATACAAGGATACAGGGATTTTTATTGTCATTTACATCACATGTGGTACATGAGGTGGAACAAAACTATGTGCACAGTGTCCCAGTTACATCCAACAAAAATACAAATTGTAAAGAAAAACATTAGTAAGATGCGAGTCATGATCTAAGAATATACTACATTCTCTAAAGAATACACAAGACTAAGAATACACTAAGCACTAATGGTACAAAAACAATGTGCCAAAACAACAGCAGCACAAACATGAGAAGGAAATCCAGAAGAAGATTGCTGAAAGCAGCTAAAGGTTTGCTAATAGCTAAAATAAGTGTAGTCTTTTCCTTTCGGCTGCTCCTTTCTTCATTGGTCGTCACTGCGAACTATTGAGCACGAAGACTTGCCAATTGTTTTTACGCGGGATGTCCTTCTTGACGCAACCACAGACCACCGAGCTACCACAGCCCTCTCTGTGGAGCAGGGAGCTGCCGTCTGGGGTGGCTGGGGGAGCAGGTGGGGGTTGGGGACCTTGCTCAAGGGCACAGAGTTAGGCAAATGAGGGTAGAGGCAGATGTGGGTGTTTCACCTTTCCAACCTGGATGTTGGCGGTACGGGGAGTTGAACCGGTGACCTTCTGATCACAGGCCCACCTTTAGCCTCTGTGCCACCACTCCCCCTCTAAGCCAAGCTAGCTTCAAGCATTAAGCTAGCCAAATGCTAGCTAAAAGCAACAAAATAGTAGCTTTGAGCTAAAAAAAAAAAAAAGGATTGTCTGAATGTCAAAAGTAACTAAATGCTAGCTAAAAGCAGCAAAAGGTTTGCTAATTGCTAAAAGTCCTGAGCCTGATTCTGCTCGAGGTTTCTTCCTGTTAAAGGGAGTTTTTCCTTTCCACTGTTGCCTTTGTGCTTGCTCAGGATAGGAGACTGTGACGAAGTGAAGATTCAACTAATCTTCTGGCTTCTTTAGATAGAGAACTTTGCTAATTGTTTATTCTATCTATGAATGTTCCTGTGAAGTGCCCCGAGACAACTTTGTTGTGATTTGGCGCTATATAAACAAACTGAACTGAACGGAATTAAAAGTAACAAAAGCCTGCAATCAGGAACTGGCTAGCAAAAAGCAAATGTAACATTGAGAAACAGAAGGATAACTAAAAGACAAAAGTAGCATATAGTTAAAAGTAACAAAAGGCTAAAAGCTTAAGTGATAGCTAAAAGTTAAAAGTAGAAAAACAAAACTAAAATAGAACACGTGCTGAAGCAGATTAAAAATAAAACAATGTTTTTTTTTAAAGTATATCTCAATGCACTGCTGCAGAATGTCTTAGTAAATATTCTGAAAAACATAAAAGTTAGAAAAACTAAGCATCATCATTCATTTTCTGAATGAGCTGAACATGAAAATAGCACCAAGCAGTTACATAGCAGGAAACACATGGAAAAGAAACAATAGTCACACAATGAAAGCTTATCGTTTTCTCTTGACCAAGTAAAAGATCAAATTGTGACTGTTGTTTGTTCCGTACGGGCCTTTTTTAAATTCTATAAGGACCCCTGGAGTTCCCCCAAACAGCAGCATGGAGACCTCTTGCATTAATAACCTCCAGGCTACTTTTTCAGTTATTCCATTACCCAGGTTTTCGATTATATGCTGTGATCTTTTCATATGTGGAGGGGGAGTTGGGGTGGCTATAACACATGGGGGCCCCTCCTCTTCATCACCCTCCACATCATGCTGTGGTCTCTTAATATCCCTCTGTGGCCACAAAAAAGAGTAAAACCAGGAGAGCCTTATTATTAGATATAATAATAATAATAATATAAATAATATTAATAATAATAATGTAAAGCCAGTCACGTGACCCTGGGAACCACTCTCTTGCCAGTGAGTGTGAGGAGGTGGCGTTGACATCTTCATCGAGACCCGGGTCGATATTCAATACAACTGATCAGCCCGAGGCGACTCGGATCGATCCAGTCTCCTTTTACTAAACTTCTCTTTTGTGTTGCTCATAAATACTAATGAACCGAGGGAAGGAGGGACAGGAGCGCGCGCCACTCAGCAAGCTGAGCGCACTTGCCGCGTGCACGCTCACAGACACGTACAAGCCTTTGTGTGTGTGTGTGTGTGTGTCATGTTGTAAAAATGAGGTACATGCAGCGGCCGTGCGCATGCACACCTCGCGCCTGCACCTCATTTATCTTATCAACCGCACTCCCAGGAGACAGTGGAGCTGCGTGGGCGCGTGCGTTTCAGTGCGCGGGCGCGTGCCTGTACAGCTGCCAAAATCAATGATACATACAGGACCCCGTGGCCCCGGGTTTGATAAAACAACAGGCGTAATCAGGCGACATGAAATCCGTTTTGACTGCCCTGCACGCGTGAAAACAGGTGCTCAGATGTGAAAAGATGTCCTTTCTTGCATTAAAATGTAAACTTCTTATCAATAGCAATCATGCATTGAATGCATATGATAAATGGCCTTTTATTGCATGAATGACGCACATGGGTCACTATAAATAAAAAAAACCCAACAACTATAAAACCATAATTTGTTTTCAACAGAATCAATCTCACAACTTATTTCATCCCCGAAGGCCTTCAAGTGTCAAGTGTCAGGGGTATTTTCTAAGTTTGGAGTTCAAACAAGTGTTCTGGTTGCAGAAGATCCCTGCGCTTTGAACCCGCTGTCTTTGATTTGTCTTTTAGGACCACAATTAAGGATACGCGCGGCTTCTCCGTTCAAAGCGCACTGGAAAGATCAATGCGGGGGATTGACAGTCAAGTGATGGCGTTTGCACAGGTGTGTGTGTGTGTGTGTGTTTATATCGGCTGAAGTTACATGAAACAGGGGCAATAAATCAACACCCGAGTGCGAAAATTGCGCAAACGGGGGCTTTCCTCGGTTTCTCTCCGCACCTGAGTCATTTCGAAATGAAGCTGTAAAACGTTTAGGGTGGTTGCGATGTCACTTTCATGCTGTTTGACAGTCTTTCACTCTGTGTGCGTTTACTCCGCACGCAAGTGGTGTTGCGCACTCTGCGCACAGTTTGCGCCGCTGCGACGAGCCTGCTTGGCAGCAAAATCCCCATCAGCCTGTGTGTTTTTTTTCTTTCTTTTTTAAATTTATTATTATTATTCGTAGTAGTTGACATTTCCTCCTCAAAGTCTCTGCGCTGTGACCAAACATCAAAGATGAGGCAGCGGAGCAACGAGCGGAGCGGGGGGGAGCAGAAATGAGCCACACGAGGAGGGGATCCGTGCACATTTGCATAAAAAAAAAGAGCAACTCGGGGGTGTATATCTGAGGCAGTGCGTGTAGAGGTGCAGTTGTGCTGCTGCTGCTGAGGAGGAGCTGAGGACGAGAAAACCCTGATCTGAGAAAAGGGGAGTATCCCAAGGTGAGGGGGGTGAAAAAGAGGGGAGAGGAGAGACGGATAAAAAGAAGAGGACAGGAGAAGAGAAGGAGGGGAGTAACGGACTGCTGCAGCCGGGATAGAGCTCGTGCACGGCAGAAAATAACGCAGGAGTTTCATTGCGCTTGCATGGCCATCTAATTGCCGGTGCGCCAAAATACGCACTCACCGGATATTTTTCCCATCCAACTTTTCTCGTGCCTCGCCTGGTACACGGTGTCTCCTCGCGCATCACCGGGACGTCGGGGGGGTCTAATCTGTGATGGGGGCAGCAGCCGAGGTTGGGAGCTTCGCCAACGGGTTCTTGGACAGCTTTGGTGCCGCTCCGGCTCCGGTCGGCTCGCATTTTGTTCTCACCCCGGCAGGGGCGGTGGACTACAACTCCGCGACGGGACTGATGATGAGGGGACAGGGGGGGCAGCAGCAGGAGCACCTGGTGTCCGCCGAGAGGCTGTCCCGAAGCCTGGCGGACCTCAGCCATCTGAAGGGGATCCTCAGGCGGAGGCAGCTTTACTGCAGGACGGGCTTCCACCTGGAGATCCATACGGACGGCACCGTGCAGGGCACCAGGAAAGACCACAGCAGATTCGGTACAGACCCATTTCCCACCACCATAGTAATACTGTAGTAGTGAATCTCTGTAGTAAAGTGTAAAAAAATATGCAAATTTGGTGTTCAGAACATTCTAATGTATATGATGCTGCATCACCTCCCTCTTCAGGATGCAGGATGCTCTAATGATGCTGCTGAATTAGTGCAAAACGTCATATTTAGTTCATTAAAAGGGATCATCTCCATGCAACAACAGCTGATTTTTTTTATGCCTGCACATTTTATCAGTTTATCTTTCGATCTTGCACATCAAAGTAGACTTTTTAAACGCTTTAGTGTTGCAATCTTTAAGACTTGGACCACTTGAGTCGAATCGTTCTGCAGCTACAATTGAATGCAAATGTTTGGGAGTCAGAAAATGCACATGTTCATGTTATTTGGGGACATTTAAACTTGCGTTTTTTTTGTGGTCATTCTGATGTATGTGATACGTGTGTGCAGGTATTTTGGAGTTCATCAGTCTTGCAGTGGGACTGGTCAGCATCAGAGGGGTGGACAGCGGTCTGTACCTCGCCATGAACAGCAAGGGAGAACTGTATGGATCGGTAAGGATGCAGCTTGGGTCACACATGTTTTTCCTCTGAAAATACATTTTAGTATACTGCAGTGTAGCCTAATTCCTTATTAATGATTGATTTGTTTATTTGCAGTAGGTGGCACTGTTTCCACCATAAAACTCACATCTTCAATTGTCTGCTTCTGTTTGCAGGAAAAGCTGTCAGCAGAGAGCGTCTTCAGGGAGCAGTTTGAGGAAAACTGGTACAACACATACTCCTCGAACATCTACCGGCACGGAGAGAAAGGGGCCTTTTACTTTGTAGCGCTGAACAAAGACGGGACATCCCGGGATGGAACCAGGTCCAGGCGACATCAGAGGTTCACTCACTTCCTGCCCAGACCTGTAGACCCAGACAGAGTCCCAGACTTGTATAGAGACATTCTGGGCCAGAGCTGAGATTGAAGGAAAGTGTCACCCTGCCAAAAAGGCGACTCAAGTGCAGCTAATGTCCCTTCTTCACGGAGATGTTGCTAATCTGAACAAACCAGGATCGTAGCAACAAACACTCCACACTGCTGGAAGTGACGAGACAAGCGGGGGGATCACCAGACAGCTCTTGGGATTTGCAGCAATCTTTTTCAAAGACAAGGACTCCCCATGTGAGACTAAACGCCTCAAATGGCTCCGAGCCCTGGTGATCCTTTCTGGATTTCCTTTATGCTGATGAAACCCAAATACATGCTGGTCCAGACTGCATGCTCAAACACACAAGCGTGGACTTTTTTTTTTTTTTTTTAATTAACCACTGGCTGCTATAGCCTTCTACTGCTGTGGCTGCTGAAAAGGCCTTTTTTGTTTTTCAGCATCGCTCAGGCTGTTGAGTTAACAGATAATAAACTTCAGCGAGTGGCTGGTTTACATAGAGAAGGTAGTTTCATGCACTGGAAAAGCAGGAGAACAGGATGCTGCTCAGAAACAATGGCTTTTCTGCGACGGACGCAAGGAAGATGAGTCAAAGGACAGTTTAAATGTAAATGGAGTTATGGACATTTTGTGGCCTCCTATGGTGGAAGATGTTGTTTTCTGTTGAAACACGCAACTTGTTCAGAAACTCAGTGAAGGAATTCAGCTGTTGACCAACTTGGCTGCAGCCAAACAGAAAGCAAAGGATGGACATTATGGCAGATTTTATTTTTATTTATGAGTTTTTTTCTTCCTTTTTTAGGGCGTACATTATATTTATTTCATATAATTATTTATTTTGAGAATATATTTTTACAGGTATGAAATGAAATAAAAAATATTCAGAACAAAAAAAAAAAGGGAATTTTTGTATTTTTTTTTTAAATTAAACTGCTGATTTAGTTGAGAATTTGATTGGAGACTTTTTATTTTTTATTTTTTTTGGTATCCAGAGGTGTTAAATTCACTTACGGCGGCCAAAATTAAAACCTTTTTCAAACTAAGGGCCAGTTTCAGAATCTACTTGAACTCAAGTTAAATACCCAGCAACTTTTCTTGGTTGCAGGTTCCTCAAAAAAGTTTAATTAATCCGTTGATATTCTCTGTTGCACTTTCCACATCATAATCAAAGATTACAGCAAAAAAAAAAAAAAAATCAAGATAAAACTATTTTACATTTAACGTATGATCTTGGGGGACAGATAAGATGTCAACGAGGGCCACATTTGGCCCTCGGGCCTTGAGTTTGACACATGTGGATAGACTGTTTTAAACAGTTAATCAAAAAAAAAAAAGGATTTAGCAAGAATTTAACCTACAAAATTGTTGTCTTGATTAATAGTTGAAGTGTATGCACCATTCCATCAAGTCTTCTCTTATGACAAATCGTATGAGGAGTAATGAAGCCTCTGCACACTTTTGGGACTTCCAGGTATGTTTCTGTTTTTAAGAAGAGAAAAAGTTGCTGTTGCAGCGTGAAAGGTAAATGCCAACTTTTAGTCAAGTGCCCAAAACTCCAGTAATGCAACAAGACTAACCTTAAAAGTCTGTTTCTTACAACCATTCATGATCATGTTAGCATTTCATATCTTCTTCTTTATAACTAAAATATAAATCTTTTGAAAATGGTCAACACAGAGTGATGGGAAATGAGTAAAAGAATGAGGCTAAATCATTTCTGAGCAGAGCCATGTTTCCTCTTACACACTGCAATTAGACAAGTGACTGGTGGAAGTGGAGCTCTGTTGTTCCTTTTCATCCTTCCCTTACTCATCAGCTTCGTCTGTTCTCAACGGTGTAGCGTGTGTGAGTCATCCCTCGCCCTTACCTGAGACAAATTTGGACTGAGATCACTTTGGTACAAGTGGAAAAGAAGGCTGGGGTTACATTGTAGCATCTTCAGTGATCCCAGCCAGTTAAAAAATTATTATTATTAATAAAGATTGTTTGCATTGACAAAATCATGGAAAAGAGAGCTGTGAGGAAATATAAGGTGTGGTATTTATTTAACAAATAAATCATTAAAAAAAAATTAAGAAATTAAATAGATATTTTCTCATTTTCTGGAAGTTTTATGGGCTTAAGTTGTTCTTGAGCCGGTCAATAAGTTTATTTTTCTGACGAGTCACACCAACGGTTTTATTTTTTGACGTTTTACTGGATTTAAATTTCCCTTTTCTATGCACAAATTTTCTCTAAACCTTTTCATTTTGCTCTAATATATTCATGGTATGATGACTGATTAATCAGTTTGAATTATTTTCTCTTATTTACTTTGCGTGTCCTGTCAGATTGCACAAAATATTTTACAATTTTACAATTAAACGCCTTAACATCCATTATATTCTTGCTGAAGACTCATTACTAAAATATCTGTGTGCATTAGCGATGCAGTTTTATTATAATCGTTGCTATTTTAGGTAAAGGACAAAACCGTTTACTATAAGTTGAATTTGTGCAATGACACAACTTGATAGGCCAAAGCAGCACAGATGGTGAAGATTTGACAGTTTGATGAAAAGCTGGTGAACACCAGTGAAATTGGTATTGCGCTTATTGTGCTGGTTCATGTGTGAATTTGTGCCTAATAAATGATGCAAAGTCAGAATATGCTAAAAATCTGAAAGGTGGGTGAAACTTTAGTCGGCTTTTGGAGTAATAAGAAATATGCAATGTATCCACAATTACACAAAACTAAAATTAATTAAATATTTGATGTGATTGAGGAGGTCGCCAACCTTAAAGTGTGAGTCAATATCCTTATTCATTTGGATCATCTTTAAGTTTAAACCCCACTGTGCACTTAGGATATATGATGCCTGTCATTCTTCAACATCTGTCCAGCTGTGCGGAGACATTGTGGAAACAACGGCCCTGTGAGTGGTGCCTTCACAGCTGTAGCCAACATCAAGGAGACGTTGCCTTTTGTAGGTCAGAGCCAGCATACAGGCTCATCAGCTCTGCAACATGTTGCAGATAAGATTACAGAGTTCTTCAGCTCATATCTGCCCGGCTGCAGAGGCAGGAGCATGGCTACATTGTGTCTAGTTGAGCGCTGTTCAGTTTGTGTGTGTGTGTGTGATCCTCTGATGGGGGTATACAGTGTTGGATGAGAGGGATCTAAAGACAAGCAGCGCCTGAGTACCAGCATGTGGACACTGACCAAGAGCGAATGTCAGATCTTAAAACTATAGGTAGGAAAGAGGGAGGTTTGAGATGAAAGTTTGTAAGAAACAGGTGGGTTTCTGAAAAAGAAAAAAAGTTTAAAAGTCAATGTGGGCTGTTGCTGTTTGGCAGCCTGTCAGGTTTTCCTTTGAAGTGTGTGTGTGCGTGTATGTGTGTATCTGAATGGAGAGGGAGGCTTGTTTATGTGAGTCAAGTTGACTGCATGGATTCATGTCAGCACAATGTCTGTGTGAGTTTGCGTGCGCGCGTGTTTGTGTGTGTGTGTGTGTGTGTGTGTGTGAGAGAGAGAGAGAGAGAGAGAGAGAGAGAGAGAGAGAGAGAGAGAGGTGCATGTGTGTGTGTGATCTGTAAATCTGTGTGAAGGTGAGCCAGGGGTTCTCCTGACTAGAGGGCTGTCTGACTGATGTGTGAAGATCAGTGTGTGCATCTGAGCGTGCACAGTGCCATACCTCCACCTCCTCTCTGCTCTGTCATCTATGGGGTTTTCCGTTGACTGGTTAGATTTCCGTGCACTGCTGGATCCAACAGGTAATGGTCCAAATGAGGATAACCAAAACAAAGACAAAGCTGTGCAGAAAATACTGAAAACTGGTTATTGAAAGACCTCCCGTTACTTTCATATAGCTGTAACTAGAGAAACTGCAGTTCCTGCGAAAATGCATGTGAATGCTTATTGCTGAAGAACTTTCTGAAAAACAGCTGAAATTAGTTAAAATCCTGCTGAAATGAAGCTGAAATAGAAGAACAAGACCAAGTTAGTAGTGAAAGCAGAAAGAACACACATTTGCTGAATTAGGTTTAAATAAACAGAAATGTACATGAAAATTAGAAAATTTGCTTTAAAAAAGCTGAAATTAGCAAAAAGTAGCTGAAAAGTGTCTGAAAAAGGCATAAAGAAGCTTAAACTACCAGAAGGAAGTGGAAGGAGCTGGAATGAGTCCCAAAAATGTGGAAATAGCAGAAAAATGTTAAATTAGCATACAAACAGAAAATAGTAGCTGAAATAACAGAAAAAGCTGAAAGTAGCAGAAACAATTTGATAGGAGCATAACAAGCTTAAATTAGCAGAGAAAAGTTAATGAAGCGGAAAGTAACAGAAATTACCACAATTTTTTTTAAATTATCTGAAAATGACTGAAATTAGCTAAAAATGCAACAACAACAAAAAAAGTAGCTGAAAAGGTAGAACAAGCTTAAATTAGTAGAAGAAAGCAGAAATAATGTGAGAATATAGCACAAAGAAAGTGTACATTATCTGAAAAAAAGCTATAATTTGCAACAAAAACAGCTGAAAGGTAGCTAAAAAAGAAGCTTAAACTACCAGAAGGAAGTGGAGAGAGCACATTTTTTGCTGAATTAGACTGAAAAAAAGTTGAAATGAGTGCAAAAAATGTAGAATTAGCCAAAAAAAGCTAAAATTATCACAAAAACAGCTAAACAGTGCAATAGCGGAAAAAGTTGAAACTTGCAAAAATAAGCTGAAATTAGCAGAAAGAGGTTTGAATAAGCACAAAATGTTGTAGTTAATAGAAATAATCTAAAAGCATCACAACAAATGCTGAAAAAAACAGCTGAAATTATCAAAAAGTAGCAGAAAACATTTGCATTTGCGCATGGAAGCTAAAAACAAAGCTGAACCAGAACAAAATGTTAAAGGAGCAGTAAAAGGTTGTAAACAGCTCTAAAGATCTGAAGGATGTAAAATGAGCTCAATTAATTTTCGATGAGGAAAAAAAGTGGCAGCAAAGGCTAAATGTTGTATTTCTAAAAGCCAAAGTTGCATCAAAAATCATAGCACCCTTCTCTTG